GGCCTGACTATGCAATCCTGCAGCTCCTGGATCATTCAAAAGTACAGTTGACAGGGAGTTCCTTACTCCCCTCTTCCTCCAGGTGCCATAGAAGGGTAGACATCTTTATACATATGCAGTCATCACAGCTCTAAGTAGTCTTTGAGCTTTGCTGAGTGGTAGTGATTCCCTGACCCAAAATGTGAGCTGTGCCCATGCTTACTACTACCTCACTCATTAGTTCTCTAACACTCACACCTTCATTATCCAGAGACATCACCAGCACCCTTCGTAAGTAAAGTCAGCCTTGCTAATGGCTGTTTCTTCCAGGTGGAGTACTTGATAAATGGGGAGATGCCCAATGACTTCTCCCAGGCTTTGGTATTTACCAACCAGTCCTTAGAGTATCTGCAGAAGAGAATTGTGGATCTACATAATGAAAAGATAATGCAAAGAGAGATCTATAAGGCAGCTCAAGAGCAACATAAGCAGCTTATCCAGGACAAAAAGGAGATGGAGATAACAATTCGACGTGAGTAACAAAGACTCTGAACAGCACAGCATACTAATGCTCACTCTGTCCCCCTCAGTTGGTGTGGGTAACTCTACCAGATGTGTGTCTTTACACTGACATAGATGTCACAGCTGGTTACTGCAGAAAATCAAACAGAAAAAGCAGACCAAGTGGACTGTTTTGATGAAGTATTGGTAGTATTCTCCAGCACTGCAGAGTCATTAGGCTGTGTGAAATAATTTGGGAACTTAGTATAAGGAGAGTTGACTGAGATGAGACACTGGAAGTCAGGACACACAATTGCCATTTCTGGCTGTAAACCAGAACTGCTAGGAAAAAGTACTTTCCCCAAAGTATTTTTGGCAGTTTCCTCCTCTGTGTAACACAGAAAGAATGAAACAAGCCCTAATCAAAACACTTTCCCAAGGACCAAACCCAAAGATGTGTCCAGCACCACCAGACCTCCAGAGGCCCTATATGGCCTTTGGTGAAGGAGCAGGTTACTAGAAGTGGCTTAGAGTGTGACATAGTGACCACACAGTCACAGTCATGGGCAAGGACAGGTGGCAACATTAAGTTGTGAGCTCTTTGTGAGCTTGTGTGAATTACGTATTACAGAGCAAATACCAAAGAGCTCAAAGAGCTAGGGATAAGGCAGAAGTTCTTACTAATCAATGAAAGACAGTGCTGCCATTTGTGCCCTACCCCTTCTGTTAGAACTGGAAGAGAAGTGCAATTACCTGATGATGAAGAAGTTTGGCCGGCTGGTTGATTTTGAAGCAGTTCAATCATACTCTGTTAACATACGCATGGAAGAGTTGGAAGTGCAAATAATGGAGAAAGAATATGAGCACTCCCAGGAACTCAAAGAGTGGGAGGTAAGGAGCAGGAAAAGAGCGTTATGATGATCTGTCATGGCTTCATTTCTCTGGGACTGAATAGTTACACTAAAATGTTTCATGAACATGTTCATGTTTGGGGTTTTTTTTCCAGTTGTCATTAATAGACAGTAATGTCCAACTCTCATTTCCTATCATCATTCCTACCTCTGCTCCAGTTGCTGATGCACACACATCCTATTTTTCATGGAGGTAGTTGATGATCTTTTTATGTTACTTTCCTCAAATGCATCTTTCTGCTTCAGTCCCCGTGTGAAGTTTTTCCAGTGCTTCTCTTTGGTTTTCAGCTGCCATTCAGCACCTACTGCCTCCTCCCGCCACCTCCATCAACAAACGGAGCACAGGGCAGCCCTGGCTCATGCCTGCGACACTGGTCTGTGCAGTCTGAAAAGCTCATGTGTCTACCTGGTGGGGCCTACAGCTCAGCTACTGTCATGCAAGCCGGAAACACTCTTATGCTGCTCTTACAGAAGGGCATATATGGAAGTATGATGTACCTAGTGGCTCTCTCTTTCCCACACCTTTGTCTAACTAACTGCTTTACCTACTTGCAATATGAAATTAAAAAATAAATAGGTGACAGATTGCACTAAAGGTACTGTGGCATGAGGTGGTGTATGCAGGATCAGTCTCTTGTTCACCTTGCTTCTGTGACAGTTATATTGTGCCTAGCATTTCTTCCTCACCTCACACTCTTTGTCCTCTTTAATCCCACCTCAACCTTTTATACCTTTCTAGAAAAGAATCTCAGACCTGCAGCAGCAGCTAATGAAGCTGACAAAGGAAAACAGCAGCAAGCTGCAACAGCTGAACCGGTTTTGTTTTGAAAAGCAGCAACTTGAAACTAAACTGGCTTCACTAAAGAATGATGTGGTAAGCCTTTAACCAGTGCAGGTTTGGGGCTGTTCAGACATGGGTAAGGGGTCAATCATCTGGCCTTCACCAGCTCTCTGGTCTCATGTCCTGCTCTGCTGTCAGCAATTTGGGCTAATATTGCCTAGTGGCACAGGCTGAATGGCTGCCCCAGGAAGGGAGATGAATTAACTGATCCTGAAGCAGGCCTTACCTTAGCTTCTCTGTAATTTCTTACTTAGCTGCTTTCTAATATTGAAACAAATCCATCTTACTTCTAATTAAAAAACATCTTGTGGCAAGTCAAAATTATCCTTCTGTTACACAGAAATGGCCAAATTAACTAAAGTGTTTTCTATTAGGGAATAGGGCAGCCACCTGTGAGAGTCTGAGTCCAAGTCAGTGTTCCCTTACTTTGACTTGCAAGTAGTTCTGACTGTGGAGTTGAGAGGTCATGGAGCTGTGCTGCCTCTTGGGAAACTTCGCTTTCCCACTTGAAATAAACTTCCACTGTTTAGTCTCCTGTGTTTTATAGGAGCTATTTTTTCCTCTCCTTACAGGGAGTAGAATTTCAGCACACCCGAACTACTGACATCAAAGAGAAGGCCAGGCTGGAGTCACGGCTCAAGCGCATCGCTGGTGACACAGCCCTCCTAAGAAAAGAAATCAGCCTTCTAAACAAAACAGGTGGGTACTGAAAAGAACTCGCTGTCCTTAGCAGAAAAGATGGATGCCTCTTTCTACACCTTTCGTCACCGCAGGACTCCAAGACACCAACTGCATCATTCCCTTTTCTTACACCAGAAACGGTAACTAACAGTCCAAGCCCCCCTTAAAAATGGATGTAGTTAACTATGGCAGTAGTCTTACCTGGAAGCGTGAAATTAATTCCTTTGGCTATACAGGCATTTAGTTTTAATGGGTTGTGCTTGTTTCTCCTATCAAAATATGACTTTAGTGACAGATATGGAATAAAGAACTGGAAAATACAACTACTGAAGGCTGTTATTGGTCTATTGCAGAGATTTGCTCAGGGCTAATGCCCCATCTGTGTGTATGTGTGTTCTTCACGTGTGTAGCTGTTGAAGGCTGGATATTAGTTTTGCATGGGCATATAAAGCTTTGGTACCTTTCTCCTCAAAAATGGTAAAAAAGATCTGCCTTAAGGGTGCCTTTTCTATTGCTGAACATCCTAGCAGCAATAGCACTTCTCTGCTGACTCAGCTAGTTAGGGTCAAGGGAAAGTGCCATTTGTTTGGGGAAAGCCAAGGGACCTTTATCCTCAGGGCCTATAGTGCTCAGAAGGGCACTGAGCCTATCAAATACTTTCCCCCTTGTCACTGTACCACTGCCAACTGCACTGCAGTACAGGATGGGGTATTCGCCTGGCAGGAGGAGGGTACAGCAAATGCAAAGTCAGCCTGTAACTCCACTGGCTTGAGCCTGATCAGACTGTATGTTTTCAGGTTTTACTCTTTTTTACCTCCAGCATTGGTACGTTGTCAGTGCGTGACCACTTACAGCACTTACCCTGTCTTACTGTGGAAACGTCCTTCACCCCAAAGCAGAGGGGTTGTATTGCACTGTTAGCCCAGTGCAGTTTTTCACGGCACACAGGGAAGCTTGGGGTTTGTTGCTAATTTTTAAGTAAATAGAGTGAACAACCCGCAGCTGCTCTTGCTCTTCCTCCCCAATTCCCCTGTGTATTGCCCCGTGTTTTCACTCCTCTCTCTGGTGTACACTCACCCAGGATCCGACCATATCCTGGCCAAGCACAAGAACTGCCCCTGCTGGCCCCAGCAAAACCACATGAATGGCACTTGTGCAGCGTGCCTTTCCAGTGGGTCCCTGTGAAGGTGCTGAGCATCCCCTGTTTCCTTAAGGGGAGAAGCCCACCCTTGTCCACAGGGCTGGCATGCTGAAAGCTTTTGAAGCTGGAAAACCACAGGATGTGGGATAAGAAAACAACATTTGCAGAGATTCACATGTCTATCTGCCTCTCTACCCCCATCACCACACTCATGCAGTTCTTGAAGATAAATGAACATTTCCTCTAGCTGTGCTCCTCGCTAGAAGTTCCACATCACTTAACTGGTGCAGGCAGCAGCTGTCCCTCTTCTCCTGAGCTCAGCATTAAGAACATTCATATCGGTGGCTAGCTGGAAAACTGTAGCTGCAGGAAAATGTCCCCTTTCCCCAGGTGTCCTGCTTGCTGTACATCTGCAAGTAAAAAGGAGCAGGTTCATTCTGTGGCAGGATTTAGCATACAGCCAGCCACAGAAAAGACTAAAGCCTTTATTTTAGATGTTAAAGCGTGGGTTTGTCTTTACAGATACGCGTCTGCAGATGGCGCGTATGTGAAGGGTTGTCTAAGATGAGTAGGCAGAGAGCGTAACTCCAAGTCCATTCACAGGAGTGTGTTCCTGGGATAAACCTTCCTGGGACCTTTTTGAAAGCATTATCTTTCGTGAAGCCCTCATTGCAAGAGGCTTCGTGATGATCTTCGTGATGGCAGCTCTGTTTGCACCCATGTCCTGCAACATCTCTTGTGCTGCTGTTTCCATCTTTGCTCCGATGAACAGCCTGGTGCCAAGGAGAGCCGCTGCTGTATTTCTTGGGCCCTCCTGTGACCTTGCTGAGGATGCCTTCTGTCTCCATAGCATTATAAAAGGCACATATACATCTATATACAAGTGCATAAATATATAAATAGGGGTGTTATACAAAAATAAATACCCATTCTCTTTTTCTCTTTAGAATAAATCTTTTGCAAAAGGTGGCTTGGTCCCTAGCTGGCGGGAGAATGAGTCTCTAAGGGCCTCAGCAGTGGCGGGCTGCTGTTCATGTGTCTTGGTAGGTCCTGACCCAAAGATGAGATCACTGGATTCTGGGGATGGAGATCTCCTCTGGGCTGGCAGCAACCTAGTCTTTCTACCTCTTCAACTGGCACTAGGCCGAGGCAGCAAGGGCTTCCTGAAAGAAAAAGGAACAAGAAAAGATTACAATGCATAAAGAAATGAGAGAGTCTTGGTAGCTTTCTTGTCAACAATCTGCTCTATAAGGATAGGTACTCTGATCAAAGAGGAAGAGCTGCATTCAGAAAGCCCTGGCTACATGGGAGTTCAATCCCACGCTTGCACGCCACAAGTCTGATCCACACTACAGGGCTGGATCAATGGATCATGTTCTAGGGAGATGGATTCACGCAAGGACCCTTTTCAGGGACCTTGCTGTTTTATTGGCAGTCTGGAAAACGCAAAATCAAGAAGGACTAAAGGACAGTAGCTCTGTAACTGGAGTTGGGTGTGTGCCCTTCCACCAACATACAGTGACAGCTTGTAGAGAAATTAGAAATGTGTTCTCTAAAACTGACTGAGACAATTTACACTCCCCAACTGCTAGTATGGTCTTTTCCATGCTGTTGTGTTAAAACTGTACTTGCTCTGCAGAAGCAAGCATGAACAGAGCCATCAGAAAGGCTCTACAGTGAGATTTCTCTGCAAGATCAGCCTGAAACAATGAGATGAAACAAACACAGAGTTTTTCAGACCACTGACCTTGGTGGAACAGGGGATCCCGTCGAGCATCCAGGCTGGGGCCTCCCACTTTGCTGCCCATCACTGGATGATGGAGACCAACAAAGTGCTCTTGAAGGTGAGGACAGTCATCTTGCGACTGAAGAAGTTGGTGAGTGGAGTCATCTGGGAGACTGTAAAGGAATGACCTGTCTTCTGTTCTTGGGTTGGGCAATCTGGGGAGGCAGACAAAGAGGTTTAGCACTATTAACAGATCACAGAACCATAGAATGTTTGGGTTTGAAGGTATCTTAAAGATCATCTAGTTCCAAATCCACTGCCATGGGCAGGGATCTTGCCTCCTTGAAAGATAGGACCTATGTAACTTCTCTGCCAGCTGCAGAGAATGAAGTAACATAGAGCATTCCTAATGAGGGAAAAGGAGAAACTGGGATGTACTTGTAGGATGGGAACGAGATGATGGGACCTGTTATCCATGATTCAACACCTAATGAGTGCCACAGGAGTTGGGAGGAATACCTCCTCGTGGGCACCACAGGAATAATGACTTGCTATCTGAACGGCGCGACACAAAGCACCCACAACTGGATCCTGGCCAGGTTCTGGGGCAGGTGCTTATCATCATCCATTCATAGATGTTAGCTTCTCTCATTCTACTTTTCAGTCTCCCACTTAGGAGCAGAGGGAGGAAAAGGAGGCAGGGGGAGGTATGTCTTGGTCATCTCTACAAATAAATTATTCCTCCCTCAAACCTTAAGAGATATGAGCTGTGTGAAGAGAATTTAGAACAAGAAGGCCTACTGCTGGAGCATGGACTTGATTCCCAAGTGAACTGGGACAGATGGGAGTGTGCTGACGGCAAGTTCTTGCAAGCATATAGTCTTGTGTCCCCCACTGGATCGTTCCACACTCCCCCTCCACAAGCCAGGACTAACCTGGAGGGCTGGTAGTCTTGCTGGACATTCCCGTTTTGGAGCACTCTCGCCTGCAGCAAAGCATTGGTCTCCTCATGTGACTGGAAGGAGAGAGAAAGATTCTCAGCAGAGCAATGCCACACAGCAGCATTAAGAACCAGGTGTTGATCTGGGAGCCAGAGCCGTGGGGCAGGCTGCTGAAGCTCTTATTACACAGGGCAGGGAAAGCTGTAACTTCCTTTTGCTACAGAGGACAGTGGAATGAAGCACCAAAAAACTGACAATGTTGAGACCTCGGTGTGCAAATAGTAACATAGGCCAAGGCAGTGCCACAGCCAAGACTGTAAATTGGTTATCATCCCCTTTGATTCAGCAGTAAGCATGAAGTGAGGGGTTTTTTTCAGCAGTGTTTTGAAGACCTTTCTGTTCCTCCCATGTCTCAGACTCCACTGCAAAGGGGAAATCTTTTAAGAAGCCTGTCTTGCCAACATAGGCCAAGGCAGTGCCACAGCCAAGACTGTAAATTGGTTATCATCCCCTTTGATTCAGCAGTAAGCATGAAGTGAGGGGTTTTTTCAGCAGTGTTTTGAAGGCCTTTCTGTTCCTCCCATATCTCAGACTCCACTGAAAAGGGGAAATCTTTTAAGAAGCCAGTCTTGCCACTTGTACATGCTGCAAAGGGTGCCAGACATGTCTGCAGAAGCCCTCTCACTGCAATATCCAAGCTCGTGTCAAACCAAATTTTAACCACAGGTATGGACATACCTGTGGCACTTCATCTGGACTGTACTCTCGGGGCTTGGCGCTTGCATATCCCACTCCTGCAGAGGGGCAGATGCCATTCAGATGTGCCCCATTGGCGTAGGGCTGCCCACTAACATAGGGATGTCCATTGGCACGAGGAGCAGAGATGCCCCTCAGAGGCACCATGGTGTACTGGCAGGACGAGACCAGCAGCCCAGCTCCTGGGAAGCCCATGTCAATGGTTTGCTCTGCAGAGGGAAAGAAGAGGAAGTCTGAGGCCAAAATCAGAGGTAAGGTTGAGCTTCTTGAAGCTCAACAGGGCTAATGTTAGGCTGTCCTATCAGGCAGCTATTCTGGCATCCAAAGCATCCTTTGGAGAGAAGTGGCGGAAAGGGGGCCTACGTGAAAGTAAAGGGAGTGCCCCTTTCCCCCATTCTAGTCCTAGGGGTCCTTCCCAACAAGGTAAGCAGGACAAGGGACAAACAGTGGCTTTGTTTTTATGGGGTTCCACAGGACATTTGATACTGCCCTCTGCCCACCCCCCCGTCGCTGCCCAGCATGTGCAGCCTCACATTTTGGGTGTTTGACCCCACAACACCTAGGAGCAGAGATAACCCACAGGGCAGAGCGCATCTTGTATATCTCAAGCAAGAACTCTTACTCTGCTTGGACCAGGCTCTCCAAAGGCAAAAGGGGATGAAAGCCACGATGAGGAGTACGATAGAGCCCAGCACAACGCCTACAATCAAGTATGGCAAGTCGCTGGAACGGGCCACCATGGCTCCTGCCCCCAGGCCACTGTGTCCACCACTGAGCGGGGGATGCTGCTGGGGGGGCACTGTGGAGGGTGGAAGACGACCTGGCAGGCCAAGGGACTTCCGAGCTGCAAAGGGAAGAGAGAGAAAGCGTTAGACACAGGCATGGCAAGTGGAATAGCAGCCCGCTCCAGGCATGTCTATGCTGCTGTGGAATGGACAGACTTCTATTATGGCTTTAAAGACGTGCCCATGGATGTCAGAGGACTTCCTAGGCTATTGCATACTGCCGTACAGACGAGTCTTCTGTGCTTGCCTTACAGATCTGTGAGACTTTTGGGCTGCTAAAGCAAAAGGAAAATAGCTTCTCCAAAACATACACTTGGGCTTAATGCTGTTCCTACTGTGACAGTGCAGCTTCTTGGAAGACAATATGGGACCTGCTTATAACCAAACAGGAGTTTGGCACAGCAAGGGCAAGTTAGCCTTTCTGGTTCCAGTAACCACCTATGTGACACTTACTTAGGAAAACAAAAGGTAACTACTACTTCAAAGGAAACAGTGATGGACCCTGCACAAAAGTTCTGTGAGTACTGGCATGGATGTATACATATACTCATCAGCAGCATCAACAACCTCTGCCTCTCTTCTCCCCAGTGCTGCCTCCATCACCTTGCCTGAGCTTGGATGCCACATGGTGAGGCAGGGATGGTACCTGCCTTGCTGTGCTCTGACTGCTGCAGGCAGGGGAGGCAGCACGCAGTGCTCCCAGAGGTGCCCTGTGAAACTGGTTACCTTTGGTTTCACAGATCATCACGTTGCTGAACTCGCTTTCACCACCCTCATTGAAGCATTGCATCTTAATGTCATACGAGGTCTCTGGCTGCAGGTGACTGATGGAGTGCCAGTACCGATCTCCTGAGGAGAGAACAAACACACGGTGCTGTTGGCTTCCTCAGGGAACACGCAGCTGGCACAGCTCTGCAGCAGTGCTAGATAAAGCAGGCCTCGACAGCAGCAGCCAAGCCTTTTGTGCACAGGCTCCTTCTGGCTGTCTGCTCTTCCAGGGGGAAGCAGCAGCTGGGACCAGTCTCTCAGTATCTCTTACCTTCCACCACATCCTTCTTGTAGTCACTGTCATTGTCACTGTCAGTGGGACGGTAGTAGATGTAAAAACCGTGGATGGGAGTGTTGTTGTTGCTGGCTGGGATATACTGCAGAGAGAGGGAGAGCAGAAATTAGCAGAGATATCTGTGCTCTGTTTTGTACCAGGTGAGGAGCAGTTGCCATAAATGGGATGGGACAGGAGGAAGTCCCAGCGGGGGAAACTTCCTTCTGTTGCCACTGGTTTGTGCAGTAAGGGCTTCCTTCCGAGAGCTCAGTGCTATTTTGTACTCTCACACCTTGCTTCTCAAGTAACAGACAAGCCATGAGTCTGGTCATGTCACCCCAAGCATCCAGTACTCTGCTCCCTGTCCGCAACCACAGCCAATGCTTCAGAGAAAAAAATCCTCAACGGCAGCATCTCAGCCGGCGCAAGGGCAAATGTACCTTCACTGTGACTCCAGCAGGCTCATGGCTTCCAGACAAACTGCATCTCTCCATGAACCAGTGACCCCAGGAGTCTCATGTTTTTGAAGACAGCTCTGATCCTCCTCCACCCAGGGCAGTACTGTCCCAGCTCCGTGTGTTCTTGCTATCTTTCACCCAGTGTTTTATCAGCTACTGTTTGTGTTTAAATAAACAGCAGTGCCCATCCTGCCCTGTAGCAATTTCTGGCTAGAAGCAGCTGGGAGAGAAGAGGGTAACGAATCCCCCTGAAGAAACCCTAAGCTGTTGGAAACACTTGGATCTAGGCTTGTGATCCAAAAGATCCTGCCCACTCCTAAAAGGATTATCAGCACTTAGGACTGCAACCCAGCAAGTGAGAGTGAAGGATGTATCTGCCGGCAATTACTAGGACAGACAGAGGTGCTAACGGATTCCAGGAATTTGGCTGGGAAAGCAAGCAGCTATCCTGTGCATTGCTGAACTGTGCTTGTTGAACAAAATGGTCAAGACCCTGAGGTTATCCACTGAAATGCCTCCTGGGTTCAGCACTGGATTCAGACAAAAAGGGTTTCCTAAGCACTCTGACTTCCCTCACGTCTACGTGGCCGAAGCCCAATCCTCCTTTGGTGGAGGGAGCTATTGGATCCCAGATGCATTTGTGCTGGTGACAGCCTCCAGTGTGGTAACCTGGAAGATGGCAAGTAGCATCTGCTGCATGCCTGCTTCCTGCACGTTCAGAAACCTCCACCCCTACAAACCTTACCATCCACTTCAGCATGATGGTGGTCTCATTGATGGCGTCTGTGAAGGTGATGTATGGCCCAGCCACAGGGCGCTCGTAGACTCGGTTGCTGTACCCAGACACCACATAAGGCCGAGACGCTGCACTGGGCTCGCTCTCTCCCAGGATGTTCAGTGCCCGGACACGGAACTTATAGGATGTGCCTACAGGGAAAAATGGGAAATAAAAGAATTGCAGAGATTGGAGTCTTCCAAGACTTCTACTGTCAGCACAGGCCTGACTGTGGAGAGGGGCTACACCTTCTCCAAAAGGCAGAGGGCCTACAGAGAGGTTTTGATCAAAGTGCAAGCACTGAAAGGCCAGATTTCAGCCATGTGCTAGATGACGCCTGCTACTTTTTGCCTGCCCCAATTCTTGTCTGGATGGTCTAGAGGTCAGGTAGCAGTTCTGGAAAGTGTGTGTGTATGGATTGAGATGTCCTGACCCAAAAGCAGGTATGGGAAACTGTCCTTCCTCTACTCCACAGAAATTAAGTACATAAACATCAGTTAAAAGCTCAAAGCCTAAATAATTTTTTACCCAAACATGACTTTACTGGTCTTTAACTTGAGGTACATGTGTTGCCCTTTTAAGCTGTCCAGCTCAGTGATGCTGTCTTTTCTCATGTGAAGTGCAATGGGAATTGTGTACTCATCTGTCTTGCCTGTGGCTAAGGAAAGTTCTGTCCAGTCTAGTAAATGGCAAAACCAAATGCCTTTAGTAACTATGTCCTGTAATACAGAAAAGCATGCACAAGCCTCCCTGTGGGAGGTCAAATCTATGCTGGTCTTTGCAGCTGGAGAAATTGGAGAAGCATCTGCAGCCTTTCCCCATGCATGTAAGGCTGGAGCTGGGGAGGCTTTGTTTTGCTTGCACATGCCAGGACTAAGCATGACATGACAGATGGCTAACCATCCCACAGGGACTGCACAGCTTCCTACAGACCTCCAGGACGCAGGGAGGAGAACACCAGCCTACCTTTCTCCAAGCCTGGGATTTCCACAGAGAGGCGAGAGGGAGGAATGTCACTGGTGGCCAGGACCCAGTCTCCCAACTTCTTCAGTTTCTTGTATTCCACACGGAAAGACTGGATGGGAAACCCACCATTCCCACGGGGGATCCACGTCACGTACACAGATGTCTCTGATGCCATGGAGATGGTTGGACGGTCTGGTGCCTCTGGAGCTGCAAGGGGCACAGAAGGACATCAGGACAGGAAACACATTTCTCTTGCCCTGTCTGGAGGATCCTGTAGCTTAGAAGTATGTGGGTGAAGGTCTACCTGCATTGCACCCACCCACATGCTCTTAAGTCCTGCCTGCTCTCTTCTGTCTCTTCATTAGAGCTTGCATCCCAAATCCTCACTCCTTTCACTTTGTGCCCTGCAAACATCTTTTACTCGTGCTTGCATCTTGCTCCATTTCCACTCCCAACTCAATTAGGATTTGAGGTGTGTACACCCATTGTGGGAGGGAGAGCAGTGAGAGGTGTGGATGCAGAGCTGGAGACAGAGCAAAACGCCTGGCTGATGTGGGAGCAGTGAGCAGGGAGAGACTGACAGCGGGGACAGATGAGTGCAGGACATGAAAACAGGAGAGATTGAGAAGACCAGCTGAGGAGGAAACAGGGAGAAGTTCTGAACTACAGACATGAAATTTGATAGGAAAACAGTCAAAAGTT